TAGTGATTCTTTATTGGCTAAAGGTTAGGTAGAATGGTGACCTGTCCACCTAGTAGCAACTGAGATTGACCTAGAGCTCCTGCGACACTGGAGTGGATAAGCTGTGGTGAATTGATGGAAGTTTCTCAGAGTGTTGAAGACTTTGAGTTTTCACATTTTGCAAAGCCAACCAATGGGACAGCCAGTCATCGAGCTGTAGGTTTAAAGCGCTGAAGTTTAGCCTCATGTTACCTTATTAGCCTCTTCCTCAGGCTGAGGGATACAGCTTATTAAATTAACATTGGTGTCAGATCAGTAACCAGTATCAGCAGATGCCTAAAGCCCTGTATTGAAATAGGAAAAAGGTTAAAAACATTATGGAGGTACAGTGAGACCTCGAGAGCTCCAGAAATGTGAATTTTCCCTCAAACCAAACTTACATCTTTTGCTAACATGGTGTGAAACTCTGTGAAGAAAACCTGACTTTGCACCTTTCTAGATGATGTACAGCTTGCAGTGTTTCCACTCTAAAAGATGGAAAAATAAACATCAGCGAGGTGTAAACGTGGGTCGTCACATACAGCATGGAAGGACAGTAAGAGGGAAATATTACAAGAAAGCAACACTGCTGAGAGAGAAGCAGTTACGTGTCAGCGCGCCGCTCCGCAGCCGCCTCGCAGACAACAGGAGGGCTGCCAATGTGTGTGTTTGGTTCTCAGAAATATGAAAGGATGCAGTCAGCTCCCTGTCTCCATGGTAACTGCATCTTCCTCCTCATCTGTCTGTACTGCTCACTTTCTTTCCCCGCTATTGTTTTTCATTATTTTTACATTTTCATCATTTCTATTTTTTCATTATGTCGCCTCGCTCTCTCTGCCTGTCTGAGAGACCCACTCAGCCTTGTGTCATAACAAGCACACACAGGTGCTCAGGTGCACAAGCCGTTACATAAACACGCACATATTTATCTTTGTGCTTGCATGGCTTGTTGCTTTGATGAAGATGTGTGACATCTGCTGTACCAGACACATATTTAGCTGCTCATTCCACGAATTGCATGTTTTCATAATTTGCCTCCATGTGTGCAGAAATGGAGAAACAAGTCTTACCAGAAAAGTCCACTTTAATTTTTACCTTTGGCATGACTACATATGTTACTGTTGCTGCTAAAGTGGAGTTACTTTTGACTACTGCATATCCAGTTCATTGGCTCCTATCCAAGTGATCATTTTTAGAGGTTATGAAATTCAATCAGTCAATCAAATGTTTATTTCGAACATATAAGCAACAGGTCTTAGTAACCATAAAACCAAACCAAAAACAAAAAATAAATAAACATAAATCACTGAAAGCATATTTACACGAACAAAAAAACAAATGTTGATGATTTCCTGTTGGAAAAGGAGTCAGAAGAACCAAATGTTTATTCATTCTTGCCTCCCGATCTTCACTGTGGGTTGCAGTGGGTAGGGATATCTGGGTACTGTCACATCTATGTGTTGGTGTTTGGGCTCTAATTTGGGTGGTTGATGGGTGTAGGAGTTTCCTCACTGAGTGAACCACTATACTGCCTGTTTGTATTTGTTGTTGGGTTTTTGTTTTTTTTCTTCTCTGGCCTTGCTCGAATGTTTTGTTTCTGGATGTCTTTTGCCTTTTTAGGTAGAAGAGGTGGTAGTCGGGGTTGCTCGTGCCATAATGCTAAACAACATTCACACAGGATTCATGTTAGCTGAATTTGGTAGCTAGAGCAATGGGGTATGTTGCTTAGTTTTCTTAATTAGTCTTATTTGTATTACATAAACAATGAAATTACATTATTCTGTTTTGTAAAAAAAAAACCAAAAATCCAAATTGCAGACTGTTAATGTTTACAATATGTATATTTAATTAGTTTTTACTTTATTTGATGGAACTTTATTTTTTGTCATTCTAACATCATACTTTAATCATGCAGCACATTTTGGTTGAATCGTGTATGAAACTTAAGAGAAATGTTTGGCAACTGTTTCGGATGATCATTTCACGGTTTCTTATAGTACTGCAATAGTGGCAACAGCAGTTCAGATATTCATTTTCACCCGTCACGCATGAGCATACATAAGTGCAGCTGTCTGCTGTTGTTGCCATATGTTGTTTTTATGCATTTGTTTACTGGTATCTACTGCATAGATAAGTGGAAAGGTGCACATGGGTTCACTAAGCTGTGGGTGTCTGATATGAGTCACGATTGTGGAAAATCCCTCTCTCCTCCTTCCCTGCAACCTGAGGCGATTAGCAAGCAAGCAGTGTCACTCTGCAGCAAGTCCCTCTCCTACAGTGACAAGCAGAGCAGAACAAAGATCTATATATAAGCAAGGCAATATCTATAACTCACTGAGCGTCAGTGCGTCAGTCAGATGGAGGTCACAGCATTTGTGATGAGTCTGCTGTCTTTGCTGTGCAGACTTCATTCGCTCCACTATGTCTTTGTTATTACAGACAGGGCTGTAGTTGTGTAACATTAAGTCCTGCTTTTTTTGTTCAGTCTGAACTCTACAAGAGGAGATTTTTAGAGGAAATAATCACATTTTGGTTAAGTGAAGAAAAACTGTTACTGCTTGTTTTAAAAGAGATGAATTACTTGAGGTTACTTTGTGTCGTTTGTTGGTGGTCTGTGGACTCTTTGTGGTTAATTATGCTTGTCTTTAGGATCATTTCAGTAATTAAGTGTGTCTTTGTGTTTGTTTTGTCTCTTAAGTGTTTAATTTCCTTACTTCACAGGGGTGTCTGATATATGGATATTTCCCTTTCCTTGTTACTCATTTCTTTTTTTCTTCTGTGTCTCTTCAGGGTTGTTCTGCTTGTGGTGGGGATTATTTTGGTAATTTCAGTCGTCTTTGTGGCCATTTACTGGTGGCTTTTGATCCTTTTTGATTGTTTTGAGTGGTTTGTGTTGTCTTTGAATGGTTGGTTTCTGGTTGTTTGTATCTCTTGTCTCTGATTATTTTGCTTGTCTTTAGGGCCGTTCTGGTAACTTTGTGTTTCTATGAGGTTGTTTTTTCCCCCCCCCACCCCCTATTTTTTTTAAGTTTGTGTCTCTTTGTGGCTGTTTTCCTTCTCGTTTGGTTTATTTCTGTAATTTTGTGTCTTTGTGGTCACTTTGTGGCTTTGTAAGCTTTTGTCTTTTTGTGGCCCTGTTGTTCTTTTTTGTCTCTTTATGATTGTTTCCTCATCATTTTGGTGTCATTTAGATTACTAAGGGTGTTTTTCTCGCTCATTTTTTGGGTCTCTTTGTAGTTAATTTTGGGTCTTTGTGGGTCTGTGTATCTTTAAGGTCATTCTGTGGGTGTTTATTGTTATGTTAGATTGGAGCTATTTGGTAATTTGGGGTCTCTTTGGTGAGTTTGTGGTGATTTGGGTTCTTTGTTATTATTTTACACTGTTTAACTGAGCTCTGGTTCTCATTTTGAAGATCACATACTGAAGTGACTTCATAGAGAAGCCAGGAGGCTTTTTGGTGTTCAAACTCCCAGAACTGTGATGGTGGGATTGTAAATGAATCCATTATCATCCATCACATTCGTGAAGAGTACCACTCATAATTGAGCAATCTTTTTTTTTTTTTTGCCTGTCCCATTTGGTTCTTTAGCCATCAGAATTGTTGTCTGAAGAACAACAAGGATACCCAATGGATTTACTTTGCCAAATGGATCATCGTGGCATTGCCGTATTGGTCCATTTGATCGACCTTTGTTTTTATTATTTATTATATTTTATTCTCAGATGTTACAGACGGGACAGACATGAGTGAGGGATAGGAAAGGGAGAGAGAAAGAGGAAGGAAAAGAAAAACAGAAGGGGAGAGGGACAGTGAGAAAGGGGGGGGGAGAAAAAAAATCTCCTGGATCACCTGTTGAGAGAAGAAGAATAAAAAACAAGCAAAAAAAAAAAAACCCAAAGCAACATACATTGAGCAATCTTCTGTTGTCCTAACCCGTATTTTAACATTTTAAATGTCCACATTTTGATAATATCCACACCAAGACTGCAGTAACAAAAGAAAAAAAATCAAGCAAAAAAGTGATTTATTCTCAGAACAAGTGATTACAAGTTTTAACCTTTTATTATTTTATTGAATAATGTAATATAGTCAGCTGAATATTCCCAGCTGGAGTTCCTTTGGTTTCTGACAGGGCTCTTACAAAGAAATGAATTCAGCTGCAATAATAGCGAGAAAGCTGCAGGTTTCAAAACAATTGTAAAAACATCTGAATTGCTTTCTTGTGGTGCGCTGCAGCTGACTTACAGGAAATATCCATGTCTGTCTAAAAAGAAGACCGCGGGAAAGAAAAATCACATTATTATGTTTTCTTGATACATTCATCAGTTAATAAGCCTTAATAAAATAAATTTTAGCGCTGGAGGTTCAGTGTTACGGTTCATTGAGACATCTAATGAGGGTGAACATAATACCAGGTGAACGCAGATTCAGATTGTCTGCTGTCTATGAACTCAGTGGTGCCACTGGCTTGAACGTGTTTCTGAGAAAAATATTGAAGCATTGCAGTGAAAGCAGAAAGCCGGCTCATCAGTCGAGAGATGCTTGGCCATCTGAAAGAGGTTTTATTTAAAATGAAGAGACTGTCTGAGAATTTAAACTGCTCAATTTCTGCCTGCACAGGCCAAGGACACAGATGAAAATAAACTGTTATTGACTCACTCTGAAACACTGTATTCTAATGGTACTAAAGTAGAAGACAAAAAAATCGAGGAATCAAAGGTTGAGTGAAAGCTGTTGTCACTGCACCGACTTTCCTTCTCGTCTCTTTTTTCCTGCATAAATTATTTTGTACAACACTTTTTTTTCTGCCTTTGCTCTTATCACACAGCCAGACTTTCTAACTTTCTTCATTACCACTTTAAACGCAATTTGGTGTTTCTTCCTCTGAGGGTGGGTTTGAGTAATCAAAGCTACTCAAATATGAAAGTATTAACCATATTTCTTCCCCTTTCTGTCTCCTTCCCCTGATTTCTTATTACAGAAAGTCAGCGAGAAGGTTGGAGGGGCGGAAGGAACCAAGCTAGATGATGACTTTAAAGAAATGGAGAAGGTAATTACCTGTTTGTCTGTGATCTGATACCAGATTTAATCTTAGCTTAGTGTTAAGCGTAGAAGCAGAGAGAAACTGGATCTCTCTTACCTCTGCTGGTAGAGGTTAGCTAATTTAAAAGTTATACTTGTTATAATCGCTAAAATAACCTGGAAGCTTCAATGACAATTTTCTGAGAGAAGGTTTGGTGCCAGAATACTTCTTGGATCTAATCCACAAAGTAAGTGGGCACAGCAGAGATAGACTAGCATACTTTTGTTTGTTTTGTTTTTGTTTTTTTTTAATTAAACAAGACATACGTAAAGGTAAAGTTTGGTGCTCTAACTACAGCCTAACTGGCTGCTATGTGTTGCTTCACTTTGACCACATATGACTAACTTGTAAACCTGTATTACACCAGCAGATTTTTTAATGTATATCTAAATATATCTAGAAAATATTGCAAAGCTGCATTCATTGTAGTATTTAGAGTAACTTTATTACTTGATTAATAACTGATGAGCTGTTGGCCTTCATCGTGGTCATTAACAGAAACAGAGCGTTCACCTTCAAAGTAAAAGTGCACTTTTTAAAATGCATTGGTTTCGACATTAAGGTACAGCTTCCAATTTGAAGGTGAACATTCTAAGTTTCTAGTTTGTAGGGTTGGGGAATACACATTTTTCCCCTAGTAATATTTGGTAGAGGGGATGGCAGACCTATCTATAGGCCTATGTCACTGAGGGTGAAGTTGCACCTTTCCAGGTTATGGCTATATAAGGTACCACCCAAGTTTTCTATTGCCAGAGATAATCACTCTGTATGAGTGTTGGTCCCATGTTGTTGTTTTGATTTATTTTTTCTGCTTTATGAAATATCCTACCAAACATGTTGTTAACAATATGTTTCATAATTACCTTAATGAAGGCCACAAGCCTAAATACACAGGAAGAAAAATAGTTATACTGCATACTGAAAACGTTGCTGGAGCTGCTCTATGCAGTTTGGAAGTAGCTGAAGTTGTTCCTGGACTTTCTACTCTGTTTATACGAGTGAGTATCAGTTGACATGCTGATAATCTGGTGTTTCCCCTACAGAAGGTGGACGTCACCAGCAGAGCAGTGTTGGACATCATGACCAAAACTACAGAGTACCTTCAGCCTAACCCAGGTATTAAATATACAAAGGTTGCAGAATACTAAAAAAAATTGCAAAACTATTATATTGTAATTCAAATTGTGACTCCTGATGTTACTGATGTTATTTCTGCTTTTTAAAGCATCAAGAGCCAAGCTGAGTATGATCAACACCATGTCAAAGATCCGTGGGCAGGAAAAAGGACCTGGTTATCCGCAGGCTGAGACCGTCCTAGGAGACGCCATGTTGAAGTTTGGACGGGAGTTAGGAGAGGAGTCCAGCTTTGGTAAATGTATACCTGTTAAATGATGTAAGATGTATCAGAAAGTTAACCATTTTCAATTATTTTTTCCAATTCAAGATTAGATAATAGAGGAAAACAGGTCATAAGCAGGTAGCAACCTTGGCGGCTCAGAAAAATTGGCTTTTTGCTAATTTCTCACTTTACTTCCAGGCTTGGCCCTCATGGATGCTGCTGAGGCGATGAAGGAACTCGGGGAGGTGAAAGATGCTCTGGACATGGAGGTCAAACAGAACTTTATTGATCCACTGCAGAATCTTCATGATAAAGACCTCAAAGAGATACAGGTCGGTAAACAAGTAACATTAGATATGTGGGAAATTGAATTTATAATGGTGACATGTTGTTGAATTCTTCTTCAACATGAATCTTAAATTGTGTATATCACATGTTCCTTTCTCATCTATTCCAGCATCATTTGAAGAAGATGGAAGGCCGACGTCTGGACTTCGACTACAAGAAGAAGCGTCAGGGGAAAGTCCAGGATGACGAAATCAAACAGGCACTGGAGAAGTTTGATGAGAGCAAAGAGATCGCAGAGCAGAGCATGTTTAACCTACTGGAGAGCGACGTAAGGATAATGTAATATACGTATTCCAATTCCACCATAACTTATTATTATCAGAGTTGAAGGTAAATATGTTCCTTAGCTCTACAGAGAAAAGTGTTAAATAATCTCAGATCATTAATACCAAAACAGAGTTTTGAAGACCAATCAGAAGAAGAAAATCTAATCATATTGTGCCCTCAGCAAATTAAAAGAAGATTTTATATTACAGCCACAAAAACATGTTCAATGTTTGTTTGTTTTTTTAAAAAAGGGGGGAACATATGAAATCAAATATTAAGGTCTATTCTTGTTACTGACATGTTCCAAGTAAAAAATTTGATGCTATATACAAACATGGAAAAGACAAGCAATCTTGTGCCTTGCTGTGCCAAACCAGTGCCAGCCCAGCGTGGGTATGGAGGATGGGTTTGGAAGAATAAAAACAACAAAAAACACGTTTATGTGTGTGTTGCAGATAGAGCAGGTGAGCCAGCTCTCAGCATTGGTCCAAGCTCAGTTTGAATACCACAGTCGTGCCTCTGAAATCCTCCAACAGCTCTCCAGGAAGATGGAGGACAGGTATCGATCCAGCCTCCTACTCAGGATAGAAATAAAGCTATAAAAATAGACTGTGTGGTTAGATAGAACTTAACTGTGTGGCTTCCTTCCAGGATAAAAGAAGTGTCCAGTAAACCGAGGAAGGAGTACACTCCAAAACCCAGAATGACACTGGAGCTGCTGCCACCCAGCGAAAGCCACAATGGAGGGATACACTCTGCCAAATCCCCAGGAAGATCACCAGGTAGAGAGCGGATGTCAATCTTCGATGTGCAGTTAGATGACTGCCAGTATCCAGCTCAGTGGTATCTGTCAAATAATGTCCAGTAGAGATGAGGTATCTGCAGTAGTGTCTTGGTAAGTCAGGATCTGGGATGCCTCATGTAGTCTGAACAAAAAGACGAGCACGTCTACCAGATAGAAGAAGCCGTGGGAGTTCAGATGAGATTTAGAAGAACGGTTTGGCCTACTAACTGCAGGGTTGGCAGTTCAATTCCTAGCCCTTCCTGCCCATGTTGCCAAGTGCAAGGCACTGAACCTTAACATACGATGCATCCTGTAAAAGCGGTAGATACTACAGACTCTACATAAAAGCCTTGAGGAGTGAAACCAGTGCAGCAGTGCATTAACCTTATTTTAAGCAATCAGCAGGGAATAACTCCACCGGTTAAAATAAGTCTGGTTGTATTTAAGCGTATAAGAAAATTGCCCCAGTTCTCAATTGCTTGATGTTTTTAATCTTAGTCGCTATTTCAAAGTCATCTTTAAGAGAGTTTTGTGTTTATTTTTTAATATATATTCCTGATCTGGGTCAAAATTGTCAAAAATTATTTCTGAAAGGCCTATAAACAGACTTATTGGCCACATACCCACTGGTTTGTGAAGTCCTGTTGTGAAGCCTTGTAAATTCATAACTGTGAGGCAAATCGGACTGATTGGCATCGCAAACTTGTGATTGATAAGTCGTTATCTATCTGTGTATCTGTATGTCAAATTTTCAGTCAGACTCCATGTTCAACACCTCAATTGGAAAAACACAGGAACGACACCAGAAATGCTTATCTCAAGGTTTCACAATGAGTCTTCACCATCAAAAAAAGGCCATCACAGTGGCTCATTGCTCTATCTGCCTGCCAGCAGCCC